CGAATCTCAGTTAGGTTGCAACTACTCGAAAAGACGGATATTCAAAAATCTTTTCCGAATTGATGATAAGGTTAAATATTCGACAGTTTATTTTTTAATTATTTTAATCATTTTTTCCTCTTCTCTTGTCCTTTGTGGTAAATTGATAGCAGTTCTCATCAAATCAAGAAATCAAGAACTGAACGTTGTTATCTTTTTCTAATCACACATTTCTGATTTTTTATCATATTCTTCATTTGAAAATCTTTAAAATAATCTCCTTATCATGAAGATGAAGTGAGAAGAGGATTGCGTTGTTGGGAGCTTGCATAAAAGGCAGAAGACTATGGTAAGATTATCGCAGAGGGCATACTACTCGGTTGCAGCAAACGAAGAACAATGGTAAGTTTACATTTTCACGATTTCACCATCAAATCTATGGTTCGAGAGGTTTAAAAGCCGTTTATAGTATGGTTGAGTTCAGCTCAAAAAAATATTACAACTACAATAGCTCGTAGGGTCCCAATTTTCTGCAAATTTGAACAATTTTATCGGTCACCCCAAAAGTTTGCAAACGATTGCAATACCTTTACTTACCTTATAAAAAGCAATAGCCGACATGGGGATTTGTAACGAGTAAATCAAACTGCATTGGTAGCTTAGATGACAGGGGTCGGGAGTGAAAATTCATTTCCTTTTTTTCCCAAAACACTTTAGAAAATTGTAATTCCGTCGGATTTTAATTTTCAATGTCTTAGCGCTGCGAATCCAGAGAAGGAAAAATTTGCAAAAATTTAGATAAAGCTTGCAAGATTTAAAATCAGCTACCTATGCTTTGTCCGAATGCGTAGGTAGAACATAACATTTTAGTTCACGGCTAGTAACAAGTTTGATACAGTTTCGCTAATGTTTTTACATATTCCTTTTTAAGACTGTAAAGATTGGCTAAGTGGCTCAACCTCAAAGGATTCTCAGAATTAGCCGCTGCCTCTGACATAGTCATAAAAATAGAACATAATGGTACTAGGTCGCTTCCTTTGTTGTGTTTATTACTCTGGAAAAAAGCTGTAAATGACTGATTATCATCGTGAGGGGATTGGCCCATTTGGCAATATCAATCCAAAAGGCTTTCTACGGGTGAGTTACATTTTGAAATATTTCCGCTTT